TTTTTAAAGATTTCTCAAGAACTACCAGGCCGATTTTAGCGTTCTCACCACCATTAGATGCGTCTTGATGAGCTCTACAATTTTTATTATATGCCCAAAAGTAATTTACTTAGTAAGAAAAAAGTTTTCTTTACATTTCTTTAAAAAATCTCCACATTAACTATTTGAATATAAATCTTGTGTAACCTGCGTCACATAGCTCTCCAGATGACTGATGAATCATCTATTAATTATGTTTCATATTGAACCAATAGAATTAATTTGACTTATTAAAAATTATCTTAAAATAAACTCCTTTCTTATTGTTAAAACCATCTTAATTATAAATAAATAATCATTTTTATTAGAATAACTAAATAACATCAACAGGATCTAATTTTAATAAAAAAAAATTAAGACCCACACATATACATACGTATGTACAATATTGTCACACCAGGTACTATAAGTAAATTATATAATACTTACTTTTATTAGGAGAATATGCTCAATTTTTAGAGCCTTATCTAGTTCTATATATATTTGTTTGATAAAGGTAAAGCTGTAGCTTAAATAGGATGCTTTTGCGATAGCTATCCAGCAAGAAATGATTTTATTCACGATTTGAATAGAAGATAGCATCCTTAATCATTTGTTTGTTGATATTGCAAGTTGTTCTTGTAGCAAAACTAAATCAGTATCTTTAATATGAGATGTTGATAAAAATTGTCATAATAAAAATGGCATTATCATTCCCAATCTCAAGCAATCAGAAAACATGAAACTGTGAAAATGTTTTATTAGATTAGGAAGTCGATACTATCCAGATGGTGTTTCAAAATTTTTCCAATATTTTAAAAAAGTAGATTTTCCTGTTGGACTTAATATTGACAAGGTGCAATCAATTAACCTCTGAACTTTTCTAGCTATAGCATGATACGTATCTTGTGGAGTTTGTAAATACCAATTACATATTAGCTGATTCAAAATACTAAAACACACACTTAAGCTATATTTAGTACTATAGTCATTGATTATTTTTTGTGATGCCTCTTCTCATATTAATTTACCTAACTTATTTATTTTCTTATTTGTAAGATGATGATATCTTGCATTCAACTTAATGTCAAATATAAGATTACTTAATTGATCCTTAGGTATTAAGCAACTTCTACATCCTTGATGCCACTATGATATTTTGTATTAGCAAAATTATTATCCTAAGGCAAATCAGCTATTATAACCCCCAAGGCTGCGATTACCCATATATTCTGACCATTTATTAAAACACCTTTTTCAAATTTTTTAATTTTATTTATAATTGGTTCCATTATATTATAAAAACATCCACCAAATGGAACAAAGCTCAAAACGAAATAATTGCTAAGTTTTGCTTGTATATTTAAGGGCATATTACAGAACTGTCGGTAAACTCTTCCTAGAGAGTGATACACATGATGAAAAATGCCAAAGTTACTATAGTAGATATCTAGTATAATTTTGAAGGTAGGTACATCCTGATGAGTGAAAGCAGAAATTTGATATACTCAATTAGGTTCTAATGACGTAATTTGATATTTTTTATCTTCTACCGGCCTTTATAACTATACAATATTTTCATAACATAAAATTGATAATATTCAGATAGTTCTAGAGTATCTTGAAGCCAAATAGTCGTTGATCCAATAATATTATATGAATCTACTAAGAATGTTGTTTTACTTAACTATAACTCTCTATTCTGTAATCACTTTAACCTTGTTGAACTTAAAAAATTTTTGGTAATTCAGAAATATAATGAAGATATTGGAACTTTAATTTCATACCATTAGAGGTTAAAACTATTACTGTAATTCTTCTGATGATTGTTTCTTTATCCTTGTATTTTATAAAAACCTCATTGTGTACAATTCTAAATATAAAAAATTAAAACAAAAAAATTTTAATAAAATTTAAAATTTTTTAATGCTTATTATTTTATAGTTACATATAAATATTACCTTGATTCATTCTTATTGAATATTGACCAAACAGAAAAGATTCATACCATATACACCTATGCCAAAATTCTGATTTGGTTTCAGCTTTGACCTCAGGTCTGAAGTATATCTGCGACCTTAATTTTTATTGCTTATAACTCATTTTATATGCTCACTTATTGATATAGTGTAAGCATTTTTGAAAGGTATTAATGTTGAGGGTGTATTCATATCTTGAATCAGAATTCTATAGCATTTTACTACCTGAAGTGGGAGTCGATTTCGTAATGACCTTAACCACTGAATATTCCTAATTATATGTTCAGGTCTAAATTTAGAATGTTTTATGATATATGTGAGTTTCTCATATGCTTTAGTTGCTAAAATTAAGTAAATAGATTATTAAAGATAATTATTCAAAAAAATAAATAAATACATAAAATAAAATAAAAAATAAAATTAAAAATAATGAAACTTCCTATTAATAATACTTACTTATTATATGTTTAGTAACTCAAGTAAAATAAGCTATCTCTGTAAAGTTTTTAAAATAAGTACCATATTCTCCAGATAGTGGCTAAAAATTAATTCCACTATCTACTATGTTTTGTATATATTCTGTTCTTGTTTCTGTTTGTAATTCAATTTCTTTTATATCTGTTGATTGGTCACTAGTACAGTCACTAGTACTTATCATGTCTGAGGCACTACTCGATATATTTGAAGTTGTAGAAAAACTGCATTTGAAATCATCATTAATAAGTTGGTCACTGCTACTCAACATATCTGAAGCACTATTCAACACATGCGAAGCAATAGAGTCAAAATCATCATTAATAAGATGGTTACTTCTACTCAACATATTTGAAGTGCTATTCAACATATACGAAGCTGTAAAGTTGAAATCGTCATTATTAAACTGACTTTCATCTGATAAACTCTTTTGTGAACTCAAAACTTGAATCTTAGATTTGATACATTTTTGTAATAACACCTTTTGGGTTGCTTTCTTAGTTTTCTTAGTTTGTATTCTTTTCATTTTAGCAAACTGACTAAATTATTAAGTATAATAATAAGAATGTCAATAAAATACTTAGTATTATTATTATTTTTTTTTAAAAAAAAATTACATATAGTTTTCTAAAAAAAACCTACTTTACACTATTTCAAGCTATAAAGTTAATTAGAAGTAAACTGTCTAATTTATAACCTTCAAGAGATAGTGTTTAAGACAAAGGTTGAAAAAATAACAAGAAAAATTTTGTGAAATTCTGCTTTTATACTTATAGTCTTGGGGTAATAATATATAGTGCAAAGTTGGAAAAAGAAAAAGCAAGAAATTCAATAAGTCTGTCTTTATATTTATATTAGAGCGAGGTTTTGATTATTAATTGACTCCGAGTCTAATTAACTTTGTAAATTATGATACTTAATTACACATAATCACAATCCTTTATTTGAGTTAAATTTGAACATATATATAAATGTACAGAGACAAGTTAAGATTTTTCTTTCGTAAAACACTTCTCTAATATATAGATATAAAGAACACACATATTTCATTATTAGCCAAATAAGGTTTGATCATTTTGTAGTTAGTAGATCATTTAACATATTATATTCTATTTTAATTAAACAATTGCCACTTTTACTTA